GTCTCCAGACTTGTCAAAGCATTAATTCATGGTTTTTACAAACCTGTATCAGTATGTTGTTACTTCGGCATCATTTTGAAACGTGTATTACAATTAAATCACGGTCAAATATGTTCATGTTGTTGTAGTTGTAGCCCCCTTGCCAGCAATTCTCTCTGACCATTCAGCAGTCGAGAGTGTTTACGTCACTAGTTCAGCATACTCAGCCCGGTTGTTGGCCCGGGAAGAACCTCGATTTTGGAGGGCCAGAAAAAAGCCCTGAGCCGGAACTACCCCTAGTGGGAAACCGTGCTACGTGCTGCAGTGGAAAAGAGCCATTATATTCCACAATCATAAAATCCCATTGATTTTGTAGGCTTTGTAATGCTAACTTCTGGGTTGGCCTACAAATATACGTCATAACTGTACCACTCTATTTCACACTTAACAATCCACACATTATTGTTAATAATAATTTAGATTTTTTATAGCGCCTTTCAAGAAACCCAATGAGGCTTAAATTATTTCTAGACCTTTTTTTCATGGACTTCATGCTCCTGATTTCTGCACACAGAACACTTAGCCTAAGTTTCATGCAAACCACTGTTGTATCTCAAACTAAAACAGATAGGCTAGAGAATAAAGAAAAGAAAAGACAAGGCGACAATCAGACTGAAGTTAATGAGGCTCCATTTTAAAGACACCTGTGAGTGAAAAGACTTGTGGCCTGTGTGCATTAATGAGATTGTGTTTGGATGGGCGCCTCCACAGGGACAGAAAACACGGCGCTGTGGGGTCATTCCCATTTAATAAATGTCACAGAGAGGGAACCTGAGCGGCGGCTGTAATTAAGCGAGCTTGCTTGGAGGCTGAGTGTCCTCACAGCGGGGGGGGAGATGACAGCCATCTTCATTTAGAGTAAGTGTTACCATTAATGAGATGCTATTAGGGTCATCCACCGAGCGCACATCAGAGACATCGCTGTGTCAGGCTGACAAGAGATAACCCTCCACCTCACCAACAGGTCTGCAATTACTAACATGCACAAAATATGCAAGCAGGATTTAGATGTCTTGTTATTGTCTAGGCGGAAAAATCAGCTGAATCAGTGCCGTATTCAGGCTGTCTGAGAGGCAGGGAGGAAAAATAAAAAGGACAGCAGTGTGGAATACCTTTTCAAGCTTGTAGGATAGCCTAAATCAGCGGTTTTCAAAGGGGGGGCGCACCTCACACTTTGAAGAGGTTCAGGGGAGGCGCAGCGTAAGAAAAAAATAATGAGAAACAGTGAAATCTAGCTAGTTAACTTCAGCTAACTTTATGCGAGCGGCAACATGGATCGATTTTTAGTGAAGTTACCTAAAGTGAGAGAGGAGACAGCGTTTGGCAGAAAACGTCACTTGCACACTTGTGGCTGTCTGTGGAGACCGAGTTCCCCCACCTCGCCAAAAAGGCTGTAAAAGTGCTCATTCCCTTCACCTCCGCCTACCTGTGTGAGTGCGGGTTTTCCGCATTGGCTTTGATCAAAAGTACCGGTCAAGCAGGGGCGGGTCTACCGGGGTGGCATGGGGTGGCAACTGCCACCCTAAAAATAGCCTTGCCACCCCAGTTGGCAGCTTTGTTTTGAAATAAAAGTTGTGGCTCATCGGACATTTATGAGAGAAAATCCCTAATATCCGAGTGCAAGTGAATGCAGCACAAGACGCGAGCCGTGTAACCCCTCCCCCGGCCCTTGCGCGAGCGAGGAAACGTGATTGGAGGCGATTTCATTTGAATGGGACGGCGCAAAACGAGAAGCATTCGGACCCAAGCAGACGGAAGGAATGAGGTATTTGCGGTCTACAATGACAGAGAAGGGAGTGTCAAGTTTGGCTGTACTCAGCATTGAATCAAAACGCACTAAAGCTGTAGATCTTAATAAGTTTGTGAGGCGTTTTGCTGAACAAGATGGTAATCGCCGCATTCAGCTGTTATAGGCATGCCAACTTGATGCTCTGCTCACGGATGACTCGATGAGCATAAAAAACTGGTAAGATGATGACCTTACGTGGGTCTGCCCCCAAAAAACAGTTTTAAGTCCTGAGAAAGTCAAATAAGACGGTGTGTAAAACTACGCTGCCCAGCCAAAAACCTTCCCACACTTTGAAAACCCCTGGCCTAGATGACACAGCATTATATTTTCCCAGTTTTAACACCACCCCAATTGCACTTTCTCCACTGGAAGGGAACCCGATAGGGAACTTATTCATGTTTTCTCCACTCAAAGATACGTAACAGCATCCTTAAGGTCACTTTGAGTCGTTTTCTCCACCGTAAGTTCTTCCTAGATGTCTCTGCACCTCGTCAGTCAACACCTGTTGCACTCTGAGCCTGTAACATTTATTTTTCTCTCCTTCTCTCGCTATGCCACATGGATAATAGCAATCAGACACAAAAACACATTTTGCACTCAGGTGCAAGGCTTGTTCGAGTTTGCACTCTCATGACCACAATATATTTTGTGCTCAGACCTTGAGATAGTGTGGCAGAAAACTATTTGCAGGTGATGGAGGGGCTGCAATTCTGCTTTTCATTGTGTAACTCAGTATTATTGTTGTATATATTTGCTCAAAAGAGACTTAAATTGAGGTCAAAAGTGCATATTATAATTTTGCTGTTACACCATTCATCACCATTGTAATTGCATCACATGGATGTAAAGTGTTGGGTCTAAATGCAGATCAGTATCCATGCAATTATTTGGGGCTCATTTGTAATGCAAGGACAGAGGAAGCTGTTTTTCATAATTACATGACAGAAGCTATAATAATCGTGCACTTACCGAGCTCCAGATGAATGCTGGGAACAAAGGAGTTGAGGAAGAACATGAAGATCACCACCGTGAGGACGAACACACACTTCACCAGCAGAACCTTGTCTCTTATTCGGTGCTGTGGACCAGAACAAAAACATATTCTGTCTGAACAGGGGAGAAGCTTTTCAAGTTTTTATCGAACAACTGATTGTTTTTGTGTCAAGAGAACAAGGCCAGCTTCATTATGGAGATAACATCGTCACAGAGTCTGAGACGGAAGAATAAACGCTTACCTTCTTCTGCAATTCCTGAATATTCTGCTCCCAGTTCTTGTCCTCTTGAGCAATTTCTCTGTCGGACACAGGAAACATGTTAAACTCATAGGTTTAAAGCACAAAAATACATTGAATTCTGGACTAATCACTGTCTTAAGGCTTTTGAACTCGTATTAAGATGTGAAACACTGTGCCTCTAGCAGCTGTGTATGAATACATAATGAATGGTGTGTTGTTTTAAGTTGTTTGTTGCCCATGATTCCCAGTGTTGTATATGGTATTTGTGCCATAATTACTGTGTGTGTCATTTGGATAACATGGATTATTCTTGGACTTCCTTTGCTTGTCCTCGCTCAGTTGTTTTTGACCAAACATTCAATTGCAAAATACAATGTTGGGTTTTTATATATAAACTCAGCTAATTGTTCATTCTTAAGCATGCATTAGAGCAAGGGTCACCAAAAATACTATTATAAATACTGAATTCTGTGGTTAATAGTGAATGTCTTTATCGAGACTATAGGCAACAACCAGAGGTGGGAAGTAGTGGAGTACAAATACTTCGTTAGTGTACTTCAGTACATTTTTCTGGTATCAGTACTTTACTCCACTACTTATTTTTCTGATGACTTTTTACTTTTAAACACAAATACCTGTACTTTCTACTTCTCACATTTTCCAAACAGGCTGGTTCCTTTAGTTTGAATGTGTGTTTGGTGGCGTGATCATTATTATTTAGAGTCATTGCGTGCCTATTGATTTGAA